ATAAGTCACATTATTTTGAACAACTTCTACGAAGTTCTGCCTCAGAAAAAAAAACTTCCAAAGAGTGAAATTTGCAACCAATTTTGAGATTAAAAAAAAAAACGAGAGAAAAAAAAAAAAAAACAGCAGATTAGTTCGTGCGTACAAACGCGTACAAAAAAAAAAAAATTCACACATGGTATGAGGGGCGTACTACGCATGTCCGTGCAAATCGCGTACATACTACAAAGGGATGACCAGCTGCAGACACAGAAAACCAGGAAATGCAAAACTAACTCCAAAGGCGAGCTGACAGTCAATCCTCCATTAAATGGAGTAAAAAAATGCTCGGATCAGGGGTCGTTTTGGCCGGACGGCGTATATTGTTGTATTCTCCAGACTTGCTGGTGGAAAAGGAACCGTACTGACGCTCCCCAGAATGGATATGGAGCCAGGGGCGAGTGTCCCATTAGCAGTCGAATAGGAGTGTGGCCGATCCAGTGTGACACTGAGTGGCAGCGGGGTGACAGGTCCATTACGAATTTCTGGTCTGAAAAAACAGGAAAAAGGCCAAAAAAAAAAAAAAAGAAACAGAGACCTCCCACCCGAAATCACCGCAGAGTACTTCCCAGCCATCAGTTCACAAACGATCTGATGGTGGTGGTCCCAACAACACTGAACAAAGTAACCGCCACATTGTTTTGGAATAAAATCGACTTCTGTCAGCAGTGATCCTGACACCCTCCATATATATACTCGGTGATTGAAGGAGGGCTCCACCCAATGAGATAATTGCACAACAGCAAGTAAAATGCTGAAAATCTTCTATCCAGTGGGCCTATGGCCGACCCCACCCTCTTTGGGGATTGGCCACACCCCCAACCGATTGAAAACATTCTGGCGGGAAGCTGTCTTTGCACGGGCATGCCCAGTGTTAAACCACCAGTACTTGGCCCAGCTATGGACCGCGGAAAAAAAATAGAGTAGAAACGTATCTAGTTGGATGAATTTGGGCGCTCCTGTAGTGGCCCGTACGTTTCCTAAAATCGCGTAGCGTTAACGGGCGCAACTTTAGGAAGTACTGGTGGTTTAAGGACAGGAGGGGAACAAAGATCTCCTTACTTTTTCAGGTAACAAAATAAATGTAAAATACTGACCGTGGGATCACCAGCACGGCAGGATTTGGGTCACTTGACTGCCCCACAAACTCGTTTCTATCCTATCCCGTTGCTAGTGGGACCTTGCCCCGGGACAAAAACGCCCTGTTAAAAATAAAAATAAAAATAAATTACAATTAAAATTAAAAAAAAAAAAACAGCACTAAACTTCAAGTCCCTCTGTGCAGAATGCAGGTTACATAGTAATATACCTGCCTAAATATCTGTTTGCTCAGGTTATAGTCGAATGAAACAGCCCAACAACCTTGCCGACACAGAAAACCCGGGAGACGCAAAAAGTTCACAAAAACTAACAGCACTCGACTCCAGGACCATCTGTCCACGACAGCAATCTATAGCTGCTCAGGTTTCGGCAGCGAATGCAACAGCGCAACAACCTTGCAGACACAGAAAACCCGGGAAATGCAAAAACTAACAGCACACTCGGGGATATCCCTATTCTCTGTTAATTTTTGCATCACCACTCAGCATATGGAAACTTCAAACCCGAGCCCGACAGCCCAGGCCTGCTCTCGACTTCGAGTCCGTCTGCACACGACATAGCAATATAGCGGACCAACCATCGTTCTGCTCAAGTTTCGTTCGAATGTCTGATCACGAGTACAGATGCAGCGATCCCTAGTCAGAAAAAAAAAAAAAAAAAAAAAAAAAAAAAAAAAAAAAAAAAAAAAAAAAAAAAAAAAAAAAAAAAAAAAAAAAAAAAAAAAAAAAAAAAAACAACCATAGGAAGGCAGAGAACGCTGGAGGACGGCCAGTACCTTCAGATATGAATGCAGAATATTAAGTTCGAATGCACAAAAAAAATAAATCTTAGGAAGGCAGAGAACCTGTCCTTCGGGACATCCGTTAAAATTGGAGCAACGACACAGAGAATAAAGATTATCACCCCTGTGCAAGGATGGCACGCATTAATCGAGAAATGGTCCATTTTTATTTTTATTTTCAAGGAAGGCAGAGAACTTAGAACCCAATGTTTGATGGCACGCATTAATCAAGAAATGGTCAATTTTTTTTCATTTTTTTTTTTCAAAGGAAGGCAGAGAACTTCAAACCCAATGGTTCAAACTTCAAATACAACACACGGAAAGCCCGGACGTAGAAAATACTCCAGTTTCTCCCCTCTTGTCTGCAGAGCGTCCTGCCTTCAATTCGCACAACTTCGATATGCTGAATGCTCGTGTACCTCAAACATCCCAATTCTCAGATTCTAAAATCCCTTATAGCAGAAGCAAAAAAGCTCAACAAGAAGCAAAAGGGGGTGAAAGCGAATGACATGGTCATGTCGAGAGCAGGCTTGAGGTACATCACCATTCTCAGCTTCTGAAACCCCCCCCTTAGCAGAAGCAAAACCAATAAACAAGAAACAAACGGCTGTGAAACCTAATGATGATATAGTGATGTCGAGAGCAGGCTTGGGCCATCATCGATGATCCGCCTACATTAGTCCTACCCCTTCCAGCCAACATGCAAACACAATCACCGGCCACTACAACCATACAATTTGGTCCCCATGACTAATACGGCCATCGAACGCACACATCGAAAAGCATGCAGTCCACAACACTCCATAGTGCGGTCCATTTGGTTACCCCACCACCCGTGCTGCACGGGCGGGGCGTCGGTCAGCCACACCCCCACCTGGGTGGCCTGGCAGTGGAGCCCGCCCAGACACACCCCCGAGTGCGGTTGTGCGCAAAATTGAGGCATGGCCAATGTTGACCCGGCGGGCCGCCCAGGTGGGGGCCGCAGGAGGGTCCCCTGCACCAACCACCCCCCCCCCCCCCCCCCCCCCCCAAAAAAAAAGGAGGGGCTTTGTTTTTGGTGTGAAACCTGAGCCTTAGTAACAGTAGACTGAAGGGGCTTCTCTCCCCGGCTCGGAGTGCACTAAGAATCTCACCCGCCAGCATGCTGGGCATTGGACTTGCAATGGCCAGCATTCCCGTGGACAGGGGTTGGTCATGCTGAGCTGCCATCATCTAACTGTTGGCGCCATAACCCATAATTAACCTTCTTGAAATTGCCTAGATTCTTACAGCACCTTCATTTTGACACAGACAGGGAAGGAAATTACTTAGGCCCAAGTGAGACAAATTGTTGGGCTTAAATTTCCTGCAGGATTCCTTATGGGAAGTTTCATCCCAATATTAAGGGCCCAAACGAGACACTGTTGTTACATTCTTGTTCTTTCTCCTCCTCCTCCTCCTCCTCCTCCTCCTCCTCCTCCTCCATAGTTCTTCAGACCTCATCTTCATCCTTCTGCACATCACATGTCCATCAATCTGAGCTCTCCAGATAGCGCCCTCCACGAAATGTGGGCCATTTGGTGCAAAAGTGTCTCATTTGGGCCCTTACTATTGGGACAAAACTTCCCATAAGGAATCCTGCAGGACATTTTAAGCCCAACAATTTGTCTCACTTGGGCCTACTTAATTTGGACCTTGCTTGGCCTTGGGACTATCCAAATGGTGTCATCCAAGAAATTTGGGACTGACTCTCCAAATGGTGGGTGTCCTCCAAGAAATTTGGGCCAAACAATGTGCCTCATCTGGACACATGAATTTGGACTTCATTTGGATTACTTCCACAAGCCCAGCCCAGGACAGTCAAGCAAAGGCCAAGAATTTAGTATGGGTAGGGATTACCCCTTTAAACCACCACTACGTCTCCCGGCTCTTTTGTTCTGATGTGGCGATTACCGACCACGCTGACAGCGGCTCAGCATGCCAGACAAAAATGACTGGCAGCACGAGCCAAAACGAAAAAATCCACGCCCACACCGCTTAATCTTTTTTTGGCGCGTGGCAGCAATCCGGGTCGGGAAAAAGAGGTACAAACGTACGGGTGTTTAAACAACAAAAGACAAAACAAAACAAAAAAAGAAAACAGCATCCGTTCAAACTTCAAAGTAAACCTTGCCAGGACTGTCTATGATCTGAAATGCATGATGTCAAGGCTAACTCCAAACATTCCAATCTTCTTCCCCAGAATACAACGTACGGTCATTATAACTGTATCTAGACTGAAAGATGCCTCAAATACAGCTATAATGACCAACCTTCTTCCCCCGAATACAACGTACGGTCATTATAGCTGTATGTAGACTGAAAGATGCCTCCAATACAGCTATAACGACCCTATGTTGTATTCGGTGGAAGAAGGTAGATTAAAGACGCTTCTCTGTGTATCCAACTCCACTTTCAAAAAATGCCACTTGCCCTACACCTACAGGACAACTCAACCGGACCCATATATTACGTAAACCACAACACCGGCCTTCGAAATCGTCCGAGTAATTCTTTTCTCTTTAACAAACACTCAAGGCCCCTTCTATTCTGGGGGGCATCAGTCCGGTTGCTTATCACCGGCAAGCATGAGTACAAGATGGAAAAGATATAGCAAAAGATTCAGTGTTAGTTGCGGTACTAATTCTGTTCAAGGGGGGTCTGCTGCCGACCACCCCACCCCTCAAACCATCGCCTCCCCCTGGGGCTCTGCTTACATCTGATCACTTTTCACTGCTAGGTCAAAAAAAAAAAATTCCCCACAGTGTGCATTACAAGACAGTATGCTGCTGACACAACCTATCGGAGTTCGACTGCCTACCGGTGTTTGACTGTGCACGATACGAAGAGATAACGGAGCAAACCCGCCGAAGCGGAGCAAGAATAATTTGAATACATGACTACCACATCACAGAAAGTAAACCTCAAGCAAACTCTACTGGACGAATGGTCGAAAAATCATACAACGGTAGGTAGCAAGGCCCATGTGCACGCGGGTCTCGCATACAGGAGCACACAAGTACTCACATCATACATAACATGTGTGCTCTGGCGTGCGCGCGAGTACATTTTCTATTCTCTTCTGTTGTTTTGCTTTTTCATCTTGAATTTGTTTCAAGATCACTCATGTCGAAGTCGTTCGTATTGAAGTGCTGCATAACTTCTTCTTTGGGGGGGCGGGGGGTTCTGATTTCTTTTTTTAATCACAATCCAGTTTAGTCCACAAAGGAGCTTCCACTGAAATGAGCACGTTCCGATAGACTGTTTTGGCCAGAATGAATAAGCCGGCAGGCATTCGACCAATGCGTAGATGTGGCCAGGATGCCCAAAGAGGGCATTCAAGAAAGCACGGTACCATGGGCAGGACAACGTACAGTCCTAATGAGTCTAGAAAGAAACTTTCAGCGACATCAACATATAACAACACACCCAGTTTTTGTCAGAATGCATAACATACACAGACATAAGGCATACACGTATTATCCGATCTGGACATAGGATAGGCCAGTCAGTATACATGAGACAGGTAGGATTCTATCTCTCACCAAGACAGCAAGATGCTGAACATTCAAAAACATTAGGTAACAGAAAACTTGGAAAAAAAGAAATCAAAAAAGAATATTGAACACGCAATCCCCAATCAAAGGCTCGGCCACTGACTCGACTAGCTGCTCCGAAATCGCATCAACACGGAACTCAATAAGTATCATCAAAAGTCTCAATCCTCACCCTCCCTGCCTCCAGAGAGAACTGTTTATTACTCTATCAGACTGCATGCGGAAGAAGGCGACCTCCTATTCTCCACTACTTCGGTCGCTGCACTAACCAAGCAAGTGCACGGCTTAAACCAGAGTCGACGGTGGACAGAAAGACTATAAGCAGGAACACTACAACAAAGGTAAGGGCTGTGAGCTTGAACTGTAGGGAGCCAACGAACAACGGGCGAGCATTGTTTCAGAACAATCCGCCAACGAACGCCCAACCACCAAAGGTGGAAACACATTGAGAACATCAGCAGCCCCTCCCACACCCACACAGAGTTACACAATGCCCAACAGCCCAACCGCCAAGATAACAAACATATTGACAAAACATCAGCAGCCCCTCCCTAACCCACACATATAACACCATGACAAACATCAGAAAAAAAGGCACACCCACAAACACAGACAACAAGGAAGAGAAGCACAGCGTCAGTTGAGGAGTACGGCAAGCAGGGGAGCAGCAGGGTCAGTCTCTTTTGCCAAAAGGTAGATTGCCTTACTTCGCCCGACCCCCTACCTTCTTCACCCGAATACAACATTCTGTTATTATATAGCTCTGTATTTGGGGTATCTTTCAGTCTAAATACAGCAATAATGACCATACATTGTATTCGGATGAAGGAGGTAGAAGAACACCCAGTCTGCTGCTTTAAGCCAATGAGAGGAGCACAGACCACAATCAACAGCCCCGGGGGAATGCCATCATAAAAGCGACGACAACTTGAGATGGTGAGAGAACTGGACGATGAAGAAGATAATCAGAGGCCCAAAACTATCAATAGCAAAGAAAGATTGGGGATTAGCACAAGGAAGTCAAAACTGGCCTAAAACAAGGAAGAAGAGCACTCAGAAGTTGATTAAGGAAGAAAAGAGAACCAAAGAACTTGCATTCTTTCTCAAGTACTTACCAAAAAAGAGGGTGCAAGAGGAAAATGCAAGTCATGACATCACCAGCACTACCAGGAAGTTCATAAAGGCGGGCACATGGAGCAACGAGGGAAAAAATCCACTTTGAACTCCAAAGAATGTGCACAAATTCTCTTCGAAGAATTTGTTCGCTTTCTTTTATAAAATATGCCAATCGACATGAATAAGCAAAAGAAAGAAGAAGAAAAAACAAATCATGAAATATCACCACCACCGACGACGAAGAAGGGGTCGGTCATGCTCGGCGTAGTGACAAGCACGACACCAACAGGAAACAGCGAAACACACAACACTTCACAATTACCATCTACAGCGCACAAGGTTGATTGTCGCACTGTGCTGGACAGCCTTAAACCACCAGTACAGGCCCCCAGCCTTGCAGTCTGAAACTTGTCMCCACAAGAAAACGAGGCCGAAACGTCAAATGCCGCGCCCGCCGGTGATAAATTAGATCAGTGGTCGCAGTTTCGTTTTGTGCCTCCAGAATTTGAGGTGTCAGTCCCGCGGTCCAGGTGCCCACGTACTGGTGCTTTAAATTCACAACGAACATCTTCCACACAAGCTCTTCAGAGTTTGCAATGTGCTGGGAAGCCTTAAGCAGCAGCTTCTTCCGGCCAGCGTAGACAGAACACTTGCGCTGTCTTTGGCTTCCCACAACGAACAACCAAGCGAAGGGCCACTTTGAAAGAGGGTATAGGCAATGCTAAGGCTGCATAGCATAGGCAGTGCATAGGCAGTGCTATGGCTGCAATGCATAGGGAGTGATAAGGCTGCATAGAAGAGAACTACATGGTAGAAAAGAAAAGAAAAGAAGGAAAAAAATGAGTGGTGCACTGTGAGCTGCGGCACGTACACTGACACCCCACATAGACCTAGAGAATTCTCCGCAAAGTTAGACCATCCCCAGCAAAGTCAGGACGACAACAACGTCCATCTTGCATGTTCATTCCTCTCGCCTACTCAACTGCTCCTAGACTTATCTCCTACCTGCCTCTATCCAGATCGCCTACATGGTAGAAAAGAAAAGAAATAGAGGTGTGCACTGTGAGCTGCAGCACCTACACTAATACCCACATAGACCTAGACAGTTCCCAGCAAAGTTGGGACGACAACAACGCCCATCTTGCATGTTCATTCCTCTTGCCTACTCAACTGTCGACAGACTTGATCTCCTGCCTGCCTCTATCCAGATCGCTTGGCGGTAATCAGGTAAAGTTTCAAATCTGAGCGACCCTCAATACGTCAATGTAATACATATATAGTACATACCAATCCAGTGCACTGCTAGCGCTGCGGAGATGAGACATGACATCGCTTTCTCTTGTACAATACACCAGGAAGATTGACTGCATCTTAACATTGCAAAAACACTTGTGCGGCAACCCAGCATAATCGCCAAGGTTGAGGTAAGAAACCATTATCAATGATGGTCAGTACTGCATACAACACAACAACTATACTGCCCTTATATCATATGTCGCAATTATGTCAGGGAAGAAGTTGTCTGCACACCTTCACACTGCAAACATAATTGATGAACGCAGCTCCATGACGAACCGAGCCACAACCATTACCAAAGCCTCGCTACAGATCACGATGGCCTCTATCGGAAAGTGTCAAATTATCACAGCATTCCCTGCTGAAAAAGAGGAGGGCTGAGATGACACAGCTGTCACCACTGACTCAGCAGTAAGGCTTGAAAACGCTCAGTATTTCAGCACTATCTTAGCCTCTGAAAGGATTCACGCTGCAGACACACAGTCCCAGTCCCAGGGTCCCAACGAGTCCCAGTCCCAAGGCCATAGCATAGGGTAGGCCGTAGGGTCTAGAGGCCAAAGTGCCGCACGTCGGTAGGTGTCGATACCGAAGCGTTGTGGATCGGTAGGAGTCCGTCCGGTACACGACAAGAAAAGTCCAGAAGCGTACAGTCCAGTCCAACAGTCCCAAGTCCAATTTTGCAGCATGTCCCAGGAAAGTCCGAAAGCTACCGGACCGACAAAATGTTTGCAGCAGACAGGCCGCGGCCGACCGGTACCAGTCTGAAGCAGGCCAAGCCAAGCCAAGCCAAGCCAAGCCCAGCCCTATATTTAGCTGCTACAGTGCAGCGGCTCATCACTTGTCCAGAAGCGCTGCTGCTGCTTGTGCGTTAAGGCAACTTGGGAACTGCATGCCCGAAGAAGAAAAGGGTGCACGTGTGCAACTCCATAGCTAGGGTAGGGGTAGAGCAGGAGGACGGTGGCCATAACCGCCAAGGTGTAAAGCTTACCTGTGTGGGTGTTTCCAGGGTGACGATCTAGGCTAGAGAGAGAGCGAGAGTGAGGCAGAGCGAGCCAAGTCAGAGAGAGCAGCAAGATGAGAGAGAGAGAGGGAGAACAGAGACAAAACATAGCCGCCAGCTGCTTGAGATCCGTTGTGTGTGTGGATGAGCGGCAGAGCCGCTTGACATAAACATTCTTGTATTATATTGATAATAATATTGCAGACGACATCTTCAAGTGTTGATTGTATCTTGATTTGTCTTCTCACATGTGAACTCTCATGCGAATGTTCATTGATGCATGTGACGTTGACTCCAACGAATACTTGGCTCATTTCACCTCCGGCATGCGTTGCCAAAGACACAACGCAGGACTCATCATCAACACAGTGGCCTTGTCTGCTACAAATATATGGGATTAACAGAACAACAACTCATAATTCCCTCTAGTTTCGCTACCGTCTTCCCCCGAACACAACGCACCCTTCTTTTGGCTGTATCTGGCCGGAAATATAGCTTGTATACATTCATTTTTAGGGTGCATTATGTTCCGGGGAAGACAGTAGTCATTTTCTAAGCCCATTTCGATACGTGATTATCTCTTCTTCTCAAGCTTGAAAATTCATTTCTTAATTTGGGTATTCTCTCTGCCAGACAAACGAATTTATGTGGACTGATGGCGCCAAGCCGCATATTTATGTGGACTGATGACGCCATCAGTCCGCATAAATTCATTTGTAAGGCCAGTTTTTTTGGTTCCCATGGCCTCTGTGCAAAAGACTCAGGCTACACAGTGCAAAAGACACAGGCTACACAGTGCATGGCGACGATAGTGAGCTGGCCTGTGTGCAAAAGACACAGGTTACACAGTGCATGGCGACGACAGTGGCCTAGTACAGACTGAGTCGCAACCCCCGCCACACGAGGCCTTCCACCTAACTATGGCCTGCAGTCTCTTCCACAGCTGGATATCTCAGTCAAAACATATTCCAGCCAGGTACATCTGACACAAGTCAGTCCTGGTGGTCGGTTCCCTCCTGTGAGCTAACATGAGCCCATTTTACTCTTTCGCTTGGTTCTTCCTCGCTGTACCTGCCCCACGCAGAGGGGTCCAACACTTCAAAATCGACTGAAGGACTAAAAGTCTGTTCGTTACAACGCCACTACCCCATAATTGTTTTCTAATTCACAAAAACATAGTCAGTTGCATTCTGAGAACTCTGTGATTTCTGAGGACTCCTTACGTTTCGCTCTGTTTTGCAAAGGTGAGGTGAAATTGAGAGAAGAAGTTATCCAGCGGCCTAGCTGAAGAGGACGGGAGGCAGCGCTGCCGGGAGCGCTGCGCCCTGCCGAATCGATGCGCTGGGCTGTGTGGTAGTGCGGACGGCGCTATGCTTTGCCAAACTGACGTGTCCAATAGTCTCCATCGCTTGCTACTTCGCCTCGCTGTTGGAGTCGTCATCAGCTGATGGGCGCTCGTGAGGGTGTTCTTCTCGACGATCCGCGAATAGGGTGAAATTTTGAAAAGGGCAATGGATTGGTTTTAGTGATAAGGTCTTCTCTCCTCTTTTCTTCAACAGGGTGGTAAGTGGATAGGGATGGAGGCTTGAACCCCCTGTGGCGCCTTGCTAACAGGTTTGGTGAGGTGGAGCTACACCATTTTTTGGTTTCCTTCTGGGAAACGGAAGATGGCCGTCGTGGTTTTCGGTGCTAGCGTTCCTCAGAGCCTAGGTGCTAGCAACGGGAGGTGGTTTTTCCTTCCCCGAACATGCTCAGGTAGGGTTTGAGGGGGCTGTGGTAAGTTGGGGATTGTTGAAGAAGAAGGGAGAGGGACTATTTGTTGGATTATTGCTCTGCTGGATTAGTTCATCACCAGGATGCTGTTCATCATCACTATCATCATCATCAGGGTACCGTTCGTCATCATCATCAAGGCGTGGGTCTTCATTTCTGTTCAGCACTAGTATCATCATCATTATCATCATCAGGGGTGCTGCTCGTCACTTATCGTTGCATTACTATCATCACAGTTCACTGTCATAAGGGCGTATAGGGCGCTGCTCACCCCTATCATCATCATCATTATCATCATCATCATGTCATCAGCATCATCATCATCTTGATTGTCTTCACAGGGCGCTGTGCATTATCATTATCATCATCATCATCATCCTCAGTTTGTAATCATAGGGGCGGGGCTGTTGGTGCTGCTCTTTAGTATGATCAGCATCATCATTCTGTCTTCATTCTCATCACTACCATCATCACCATCATCTTCATCAGTTCGTCATCATTAGATGTTTGCCCTTCAAGGCATTGTTTGCCGTTCACATCAGCGGGTGAGTTGGTCTTCACCATTATTTTCATCATCATCATCTTTAGGGTGTTGTTTGTCGTCATCAGCAAAAAGCAAAAAAAAAAAATCTCATCTATCTTTTCTCCATCATATTTTTCAGGAATTTTCGATGCTTGATCCTTCTCGAATAAGTCTCTCATCCAGTTTACTACTTTCCATTTGGTTGGCCTCTCGAGAAGGATGCAGGAATAGGCACTATCTGTCAAGTCATCTGTGATCCTGCGAAGGGTGGTTGAAAATTTGGTGGCCCTCGAAGACCGATGCTGGAGCAACACTGGCCGGAGCCGGAGCCAGGTGGCGCAACTCTGTGACCTAGCTTACTGGGGGCGTGAGACCTGGTAGAGAGCTCTGGGGGCCTGTGTGCGGGGGCAGTCTCAATGGTCATCGGGGGTCGAAACTGGAGCAATGCTGGCCGGTGCTGGAGCAAGGTGGCGCAACTCTGTAACCCAACCTGATGGGAGCATGAGGCCTGGAAGAGCTTCGTTTTTTTGTGCTGAAAACAACCATGCTGGTGATGGTCGTAGGTGGATTGAATAGGTTTCACCTATCTGATTTGTCGGTGGTTCTTATGAATGTCTTAGGACTATAGGGACTCTTAGCAACCCATCCTAGGCGGTCTGAAGCGGTTATACTCAGTGATCCTCGGCTGTTCGATGCCAGAACGACGCTGGCCGGTGCTGGGGTGATGCCCTGTAACCTGCTGATGCAGGAGCGTGAGGCCTGGTAGAGAGATATGGGGATGCTTTGGGGTGGCCATCCCAACGGAAAGCCAAGGCTTGCTGCTGGGACGACGCTGGTCGGAGCTGGGGCGAGTTGTGTTGCCCTGTAACCCAGGAGGGTGGGGGCGTGAGGCCTGGAAGAGCTCAGCAGGGAGTAAGACTGTGATGGAAAGTCTTAGAAGGGCTTGTTAGGGATCCTGAGGGTTGTGAGCTGTCGTAGGACCTCTGTGGCAGCCTATTGCATGTGTAGTTCCTTATTAGGTCATTAGATATTCACAGACTGATCTCAGTCGAAGCCGGGTAATGGCCCCGGTATCTCAAATGGTCTCAAATGTTCTCAAATTTTCTCAAATGTTCTCAATGATCTGTACAATTTGATATGGGACGCTGGGCTCGGTTCCCAGCATGTGCTGCTCCCCACGAATAGACTGGAGCATTTGTTAAAAAAAAAGAAAAAAAAAAAAAAAACAGTTCTGTCCTTCGGGACATCCGTTAAAATTGGAACGATACGGAGAAGTTTAGCATGGCCCCTGCGCAAGGATGACACGCATAAATCGAGAAATGGTCCAAATTAAGGGCCAAAAAAAAAAACAGAGTTCTGTCAACTGGCCTAGCTCAGTGGGTAGGTACACCCCTGAACTTCCGAAATACAGACTCGAGTTCGAACTCGACTCGAAGCAGATGAGTGAAATACTCCAATTCAGATTAAAATGTTTTTGTCACCGTCCTTCGCCACAGCTTAGCTGCGGCAGGTCCACTTGTTTAGGACTGATTAATAAAGAGGAGAGCTAACGGATAACGAGATTGATAACATTAATCTTTTTCGTCTTCTTCTTCTTCTTCTTCTTCTTGTCCTGCTCTTTTCTTACCTCTCGTGCAATCCATACTCAATTGCAATTCACAGCATCGTCTCAGTTTCGAGTCTTCCTTCATGATTGGACCAGGCCCAAAAGAAATTATTTGGTGAGCGCTCCGTGTATCCTCCCTCCCCCAACCTGTGTATTGTAGGTTGGCCCCCGGTAGGGATTGATCACACCCCCCCTCTGCAGCCAAGGTACATCAGACCTTTTATCTTTTGAAGCATTGATGCAGGCTCTTATGTCTTCGATCCACACATCATTAGTCATCTCAGCCCCGGCCATCGGCTGCAAGCATTTTCAATCCACAGGTCCCCCAACAGCCACCCCCAGTCTCGACAACACTACACCATCCCACCCATGACAACTGAGGAACGAGTGGATATTCCACAGGGAGAAGCAAGCTCACCGTCTCTGATGCTGAAGGCCATTCAATTTGCCTGAGTTCTCCACCCTGCTTAGACAGGAAAGCCACAACTTTCCCATACATCCTGCAAGACGGCAAACAGCATCGGGCACGCACACAAACAGCTACGTTAACTGCGCTGCCAACCACGTCACTCTCCCATACATTACCTGGTCGACCACGTCAGTCCTCCACACAGATCTCATGAGAGAGCCATTGTTACATCACAGTGCCACATCTCACTGGCCTACAGGGGTGTCAGTATTAACCATGAGCTAACCTCAAAAGCATAACACCACACCAAAGACAGGCCCCTGGAGGGCTCAATTACTCTTCTTCTATGACAAGGGAGGACCACACACAGAAACCGCAGCTGCAACAGCGACGAACACTTGAGGGGTCAAATCGCTGGTCGTGGATAGATGAAGCCCTTGTCCAGGGCGGTAAAGACAAACGCCTTGGAGCCTGGAGAGATCAAGCCAGTGTCTGGAACGGTAAAAGAGCCTGCAGAGGGAGATCGTAAGACTACGACCGCAGCAAGGGAGGCATGGCAGGCTGAGGAGTGGGGTGGGTCGCGTAGAAGGGGGGGAGGGGGGGGTAAAGGGGAAGAAAAACACTTCGAGACATTTCCCTACATTCTGCCATTTCCCTTCCCTTCCTCTCGCTGAAAACCGCCCCCATTGCCAAATCCTCATTACCAGAGAGTGGATCCTTGCCTGGGACTAAACTTTCCAATCCATTGCGAGCAAGGACCTACCAGGCCCTGGCAGCCTTTTTGGTCGTGAAGGCAGGAACCACGACGAGGTGGCACATTGACCCGAGGTTGCTGGACGTGAAGGATACGGAATAGTGGTGGTTCAAACTGCCAGTACGCGGCCCCAGCCTTGCTGAAAAAGAAACTACTTGTAGCCTACGAAAGTTTCAGACTCGGCCTACCGGACGAAAATGGCTGGCGACGCCAGCCATAAAAGAAAAAAAGTGTGCCGCTGGCGGTTCGCAAAAGCTTGGCATGCAGTGAGGGGCCTGCAGCCCCGGGTGTGCTGGTGGTTTAAGCCTGCGTCTGGCTGCAGCATTAGCAGGGAAAGGTCCGATGGTATTCATCATCCCCCTCAAAAGTGTCAGGACTGCTACAACTTGTGCTCTTCAGATCTGATCTTCCGTGGCAATAGACATCACGGTGAACTTTGTTCCTTTTTCTTCCCCCGCCAAGGTACACCTCCACTTTTAACTTGGGACCTTTTTCTTCCCGCGCCAAGGTATCACTTGGGACCTCACCTCCCATTGTTTGTCTTCTTCTACTTGGAAAAGAAGCTACGAGTTGTTCTCCGCTGCCCTACTTCGAGCACTTTCCTTGAAGAGTTGGGGGCTCATCTGCCGGTTTCGCCGAGGTTCCCTTTCCAGGATAGTGCCTATCTTCACTTGAAATGCTGTGCTCGTGTGTTGTCTGCAAATCCATGGTGCGAATTTGATACATGGTGCAGCATTGCATACCTGCCGACGACAGACCCCGACCGCCAACCGTTTTGCAGCCGACCAGTAGGGGCCGACCAGTTGGCGTTCTGCCAACCAGTCTGGTTAAAACAGCCATCCACTGATTTTTTTTCAGATCTGAGTTGGCCAGCTGTACTGCACTTGCTGAGTACAGCCCAAATCCGCTGAGAAACTTTTGTTAACGGGGGGGCTATGCGGGGGTATTGGGGGGCATACGGGGGTATAGGGGTGGTATAGGGGCTATTGGGGGGTGTATGAGGGTGTAGGGGGGCGGCTTGTCGGTGTTGGGGAGTGTATGGGGGTATTGGGGGCGCATATTGGGGTGTTGGTGGGGTGTTCTGGACCCCCAAAAAAAAGATTTTCTTTTTTTTTTGTTTTTGTGAGGTGCCGACAACCCCCGACTGGTAGGTGCGGACCAGCCGACCGGCTGGTCGGCAGCCAACCAGTCAAGGCCCGCCAACCGTCGGGGTATGCAACACTGACATCACTAATTTGAAATAACAAGCACTGACTGGCTCCCAGTGCAACCTCATAAAACCTATGAAACACAGGCGTGAAGAAATTGAAACCCAAGTAGTTAGTTGTTACCCAGGCAGCCCCTTGTGCATACGTTGCTGTTTCTGTTCCTTTTCGGGTATTTCACCTAGATGTAGCTGTGTTGAAAATTCGGTTTAAAATTCGGTTCCACTGTGTGGTCTGCAATCCGCTGCTGAATCAGGGCAGTCCACCTTGGAGAGGCCACAGCACGGGATTTTTTTCCACTAACTCTTTTGCAGATCCGCTCAAGCTTCGACAGGACCGAGGCCATTTCCAATCCAGTACCCGGTACTGCCCCCCTGAGATGATGAGATTGGGGCTGGAAAAGTTCCCAGAGAATACCGAAATCTGCGCGTAGGTGGTGGAGCCTCGCGGATTTCTACCAATTCGGCGTCGTACTTCATTTGAAAAGAGGAAACTCTCCAAGGAACGCCAGTGGAGCACAACTCTTAGCCTTTGAAATGTCGATCATGTGCATCATCGGGCCTTGCTCCACTACTCACAAAGTGCACAAAATGAGAATAAATCTTCCGCTAGAACATGGAAAGATACGCCACCATATATTTTGTGTTTTGTGCGTTCGAGAGTAGTGGAGCGAGGCTGATTAGATTCCAACTACTGTTGACGACCAGTGGTGATGCATGCATGCAGTTCGGAAGTCGGCCAGGTGCCTTTTTAAATCCGCATTTGTATTTTACTATTTTCTATTTATTCTGTTTCCACCTCTTTCAAGGAATACGAGTGGGAACAATATACAAAAAGCCAAGTTGCGAAATCACACAGATCTCCAAGTAGTCGTGTACAAGCAGAGAGCACAAATCCACCGAGATTCCATCCAAATAAAAGCAATACAGTGAAGTCATGAGCCAATGTTCAAGCCCTCAGGCCACACCAACACAGTATCCAGTGTCGCTCCTCTCTGTCTGGCGCCCAGCGTAAACTACTTGCCTATCCTACCTACATCCGCATTCCCGTAACAGGCTCACTTCGACTTTGAAGACCAGCGTGCATGACGTCAACACCATAGCCGACCTCCATCATGCACAAGGTACGTATCTCGTCTCCTCTCATCAGACACCGACCACCCACACTCGCCTCCTTCCTAGACCACCGATCGCCCTCTTATCCCCTTGCGCCCTGCAGCCCGGCTATGGCTGCTTGCGCTCCGCTGCCCAGCAGCGGCCCTTTCACCCCTCAAACGCCCACACGCGCCCCCTGGCCACTAGCGCAGCATGCAGCGACGCAGCAGCATGACCACATTGCCTGCATGGGCCAGAATGCCAGACCCTGGCTGCCTTCCTTCCTATATGGAAGTGGCAGCCTCTGTTTGGCTGCATGTGTCCTGGCTGGGAAACTTCCAGTAGCTTCCAGTCGGGCCCCAGTGCCTGCACCCAGACCCAGTGCTGCAGTTGAGGGCCTGGGCCCGTTACAGTTGGGCACGGCCTGAGTTTCCAGACTTGGGCCGTTTGCTGCATTTGCACAGGACCCGGGGTATGTACGTCAGCAATACTGCTTTGGCGTAGGCCCGTAGCCACTTCGTGAAGTACCTGCCCTGCATTGTGTGTGTACGTACCCAGGCGCAGCTATCAAGGCCTGGGCCAAACTGTACAAACTGTACAACGCAGCTTAAGGCTCACGCTTCCATTCAACCAACCGGCATGCTGCAACAGCCTGAGTACCCACATATGGAAAATGTCAAATTTTGGCCTCTAGTGAATATTCAGGCCCACCTTCACTTAGGGTGGGCACTGGGCTTGCTGAAGGCCTCTGCCCAGAACATGTGCATGCCTGATAAGGGCCCTGCGAGGGCTCATTCCTCGCACTCTCTTTATATAAAGTTCATTACCGTTTCTTTTTCGAATCTTTTCATATCTGCACTATTTTGCTCCCCCCCCTTCCCCCCCCCCTCTCTCTTTGAAAACCCCCCCCAAAAAAAAGGGCAACGCCATTCAGATATCTTCATTGAACAGACCGGCCCCGGGTAATTCAGAATGATTCTGTTTGTTCTGTTTATCTGACAGCATCTGGATTCGAACTTGGGTCTGTATTTCAACAGTTCATGAGCCAATTCCCATTCCGCCACCAGTTGTCCCGCCCAGCATTTGAAAGAATACCATCATTAAAGCGGGGCCAGGCACCGAAAAGTTCATAGCGTTATTTAAAAAGAAAAAAGGAAAACGCCTCAGTGTCCTCCTCAGAAAGGCTGGAGGCACAAGGCAAATCGTGTGCCACAACAGTTCGAAAGTCCCAATTTCTTCAGGCCCGATAACAGTCGGCACTGGAAAAAAGAGGAGGCTGGGAACAACCAGTGCTTTCCGCCATCTCTTCCTCTTCGCAGCCAATTGCTAAAAGTCTCCGAAACTCGTGGTGTGAACGTGTGCTTGCTTGTTTTTTCTCGAAACATCATTTTCTTTTTTTTTCCTTTTTAAATTATTTTCATCCCAACCAGTTCAAGTACCTGCCAAATCTAGACAGGACGACCTTTCAGGCATTTTTTATTTATGATTATAGTATTACGGGGAACCCCATAGCAGCCAGCTCGAGTTCAAGACTCCAACAAGAACATAATGGGATGCACCCGACCTGCAGGCGGGGTCAGATTCGGGCATCAAGGAAACTCGACGCGGCTAGTGGAACTGGACCCCTGGTAGCGTCAGGACTGAAACATCATTTTCGTTTTCTTCTTTTTATTAACAAGAAAACTCAGCTCATTTTTTTGATTACGCACACCAAAAGAGAAACAGGATTCCTCGACAAACAACCTGGGAAAAAAAAAGGGAAAAAAAAAAATCATTTTCCAAGACCCTTATTCTGGTGATTATAAGAAAAGAAAAAAACTCAACATGGTATTATTATCACACTCTTGAATCGGCCTAGCTCAGTTGGTGTACACCCCTGAACTGTTCTGTTGAAATATGAGTCAGACCGAAGTTCGAATCCAGATACAGTCAGATGGACAGAACAAAATAATTCTGAATTACCTGGGACAGTCAGATAAATGTTGATATCTCGAGCCCGTTCGCCTTCTAAAACAATAAAAAAAAATTAAAAAATAGA